TGTGCAGACTCAGTTTTTCTTTTATGAACCTACATTTTTAAACGTACCACACTTATAGCTGTGAAGTTAAGATTTTTGAAATATGTGTATTTTTGCTTGATTTAAGGAGGTATGTTAAATAATGGGGCTGATCGGTGGAGCAGTGGGTAGAACTGATGCCTTACAGCAAGAAGGTTCTGGATTTGATTACCAGCCAAGGGTCTTTCTGCATGGAGTTTGCATGTTCTCCCCCAGCATGCATGGGTTCTCTCCGGGTACTCTGGCTTCCTCCCACAGTCCAAAAACATGACTGTTATTTGGCTTATTTGGTTAATTGGCTTATCTAAATCCTCCCTAGGTGTGAGTGTGTGTGTAAATAGTTGAACCCCGCCTCTCACCTGTAGACAGCTGGGGATAGGCTCCAGCACCCCTAACGACCCCAGCAGGGATAAGCCTGACGAAAAATGGATGGATGGATGTTAAATGATCTGCCAATAAATAAAGATTTTTGCACTTTCTGTAAGAAAAGAAAGGCATTTACCCATCATCTTACTTGAAGTGCATTATATAACTTCTTATTTTAGGGACAAAATGTTCATAATTTCCCCAGGAACTCAAATAAGAAGCAAATGCCCTTATTTAAGGAACATTCATTCATTTGCAGATTGACCTTTGTAGTGTAGGTACAGGCTTAACTTTGTTATATAGTGAAAAAAAAAACACACAATCCTCCTCTAAATATATTTAAAAACAAAAAAACTATTTTCAGACAGAGTACCATTCTAACATGTGCTGCTCTTCTAGGACTTGCAGCTCTGCAGCGTGTAACCCTGACAGCAAAACTGATGTCATCTCGTTGGATACCTCGACTAAGGGGAAGAAATATCGGCCAAAATTCTTAGGCACACTTGTAAATTTGATTCGCATATTTAAACAGAAATCAACAAAACAAATTGTAACATGTAGTTATTTAAAATAAGCAATAAATCTTTTTTTTTTTTTACAAAAATAAATTTTAATTGTGGAACCAATTCTCTAATATTTTAGTAAACTATATTTAAAAATGTATCCACAACTAAACATTACAATTTCCAAGCACCAAATGCATGTCTAGAATTTATAGACTTAGACCAGAAGAAGTATTTTCTCTGAAAAAAAAAGCCCACCCTGCATTTCAGAACCTATTTTTCATAATTTTGTTCTACCTCAGGCTACTAGGCCTACCACATGAATAACCTTTCTCATATGAGGGTTTGTTGATGTGACTAAGCCTAAAAAGGTTGAGAGATAAGCACAATAACAATCGAGCGATGATATCACAAATATTGATTTGCTCTTGTGTTTTTTGATATTCCAGGAATTGTTGTTTTATTCTTGCGGTTGCTCGCTGCAGGTTGCAGCGGGTGGTAAAGATGCTTATCAGAGGTGCTGCCCCTGTTGTTTCCTCCTGTGATTCTTAATAAAGGGTCTCAAGTTTACCATCTGACATCAAAGCGAACTGGGTGGGTTTTTTTGTCTCTCCAGTTTTTGGTTATTGCTGAAATTTTCAGTTAGGCCACTTGCAAGCCCCCCCACACACACGCACATCGTTTTTCCACTGCAGTGATATAAATCAGCAGCAGGAACACACTCACCGACCACAGTTTAACATATTTCTGCTCTATAAGTAACGGTGATGTAACGAGAAGTTGTCAAGTACTCTGTTATAAACGTGCTTAGAACTGGCTGTAGAGTAGCTTCTTGGTAGATTTTTCATTTTTTCCCTTGTTTTTAAACCCTGCAGAGTCAGATATAGGAGTTCACCCTGAAATTGAAGGGTTGGCGGTTCAAGCCCCGTCTCCCGCTTTCAGTGTCATTGTGACCCTCGGCAAGACACTTCAGCCACATTGCCTACCGACATTGGTCAGAGGCAGGGTTGTTTTAGACATCAATCTTAGATTTATTCTTAGTTTCAGGATGAAAACTATTATTAGTTTTAGTTGGATTTTACACTGCAAAAAAATAGAAATCTAAATAAGTAATTTTTTCTTTAAAAAGGTGCATTTTTCTGGAAATGAGAAGCTAGTTGAAACACTTTGCCAATGGAATAAGACAATTTGAATTTATAATAATAAAAAACAATTGAATAGTCTTATTTCAAGTGCATATTTTCTAATTAGCAGATCTAGTTCAACACATATAGCACACAGAAAAGCTGAAAAATGTGCAATAAAGGAATGGTTTTAGACATCCCAAAGCATACACTTCCTGATCTACTGTGAATTATTCATTACTAAATCTTCATTGCTTCAAAAAAGCAAAACAAATCCCCCCCTTTGTTATTACTGCTCAGGGTTCAAAGCAGATTTAAATTTCTGATTAAGGTTTTGATTTTTTTTAAAATACAGAGAGAACCTACAAAATTGCCTTGAAATGTTATGGCAATTCAGACCTAAATTGAATGAATATGCTAACTAAAATGTTAAAAGTATTTTTAAAAAATTTAATTTATTTTATTTTAAAACATTTTATTTTATTCTAAAACATAGAAAAAAAATGTTTCAATGAAAATACAAGGAAACATTTACATCAAATAGATAGAAACGACAACTATGACAGAGAAATATTCAAAGATCTATGTACCTTTTAATCAGGCTCTTTATCCAAAAATAAACAGACAATGACATTTTTTTATATATATAATTTAGGGATTCCTTTTGGTAGAAATTAAAGAATGTTTAGTATCACCTGTTGTGAGCTGGAAGATATAAAATCTTATATTTAGACAAAGGGGGTTTTACACTTTTACAGAGAGAATGATCAGCCACACATAGTTTATTAAGCAGTGAGGGCAGGATGAGCCATACTGCAGAGAGTGAACAATCAGTGAAGCGCAGAGCACAGATGGATGAACATAGTTTGTAAGTTGAGGGCGCAGTACCGGACCATTCCGGGTTATTTTCTCCCCTGCCGCTGCTGCCATGATCCATTTGTGGTCATGCAAAAAGTGGAGCACTTTACGCCAGGCTGGCTGCGTGGTCAAAGCAGTACGACTGATACTGCTTAGCAGATAATAGCATGGTGATGCAGTTTAAATGTTTGACCGACCAGCCGGCACTTTTTATTTGGTCTCGTCTCGTTGACGAAAATGTACACCTATGACTAGTCATGTTTTAGTCATGACGAAAACAACACTGGTCAGACGGCTCGGTGGCTCCAGTGTATGGCAACCCCGCTTCTGTCAGTGAGCCCCAGGGCAGCTATGGCTACAAAGTAGGTTGCCATCATCACTGTGTGCATGAATGGGTGAATGACTGAATGTAGTGTAAGGCGCTTTGGTGAATGACCTTGTTTTAATGTATTGAATAATTTTACATCAACCTTCTTCCTGGCACACCTGGAGGAGAAGAACACCCACGTGCGGATGCTGTTCCTGGACTTCAGTTCAGCTTTCATCACCATCATCCCACAGCATCTGATGGGAAAACTGGAACAGCTGGCCTTCAATACACCCCTCTACAATTGGCTGCTAAACTTCCTCACAGACAGACCTCAGTCAGTCCAGGATGAACAGAACACCTGTGATGCTCCCCTCAGGGCTGCGTCCTGAGCCACCTGCTGTTCATTCTGATGAAACATGACTGCGTCCCCAGCATCACCACCAATCACAGGGTGAATCCTTCCAGATTCATTCCACTCCCTTCCTATTTATCTTGTCTTTTGTTTTAATCTCATCCTTGGCATCAGTTGGGGAATTTACCATTAGGCAATACTAGGCAGTTGTCTACGGCCCCAAGTCCCTGGGGGCCCTATAAAACTCTGTTTACATGTATGGTTAATACAACTATTCCTTATTTGTGCCAATTACTTTTGTATAAAATTCTTTTGCTAAAAGAAGAACGCTTATAATACTATAACATTAAGTGTGTCTCCGCCCCCCCTTCAGTGTCCACCATATTGGATCAGTCCAT